ATCATCCTAGTATGCTCTAAACACCCTGAAAAACCTGGTATTCCTGCCTTCTGCACCATGATATCTATTAAGCTATTCCTTTCTAAGTAGCTAGCTAATCTCTGCGCAACTACACTAAAGAAATTCTTCCCCTCCACATTCAAGAGAGAAATCATCCGGAACTGGCTAAGGTCCACAGACTCCTTCTCCTTAGGAATGTGGACACCCCCTGCCCTACGCCATGCTCTTGGTATATGCTCTTGCAGAAAAATCTTTCAATTAATATCTGGCAAAGTCAGCAACTCCCCCTACTGGCCACACAGAGAATCAATACATAAAACCTCAAAGAATAACCCGGCATGTTTTACCCATTTATGGTTTTTAATCTGAAATGGTAGCAAATTCAGCTACAAGAGCAGCGAGGGTTGATTTACACTCAATACTCAAAGTGATATAGTACTAAGTGGGATACCAAATGTCATCTAGGCCAACTAAAAGTAACAAAATAAACCATTTACTGTAAACACAATCTGCTTTATTATTTTTTTGTTTTAAATAAACTGCAACACAGAGGGGACAGTGGGCACAGTGGATGGAGCAAAGGCTGGAGATGGACCTAAGATGAAAAACAACAACAAAAGCTAGTCATGTTAGATGTCATATTACACTTGAAAATGATGCTGCTTATTTTCTAAATAAAATAGTACAGCTATAGCTTGAAATAAGAAAACAATCTGCCAGTGGAATAATTGAAAATTGCTTGAGAAGTTTTGAAATAATATGCATTTGTCCTTTTCGTATGATTATGTCTTATATTGAAAATTATTCATCTTAGAATGTTCCACACTGAGCAATTACAAAGGCTGTTTTTGTTACCAGGTACAGCTGAGGTTGCAGCAGAAATAGAGGAGACAGTGGGCACAGTGGATGGAGTGGAGGATGGAGATGGACCTAAGATGAAAAACATGTCCCTTGTCATATGATTATATCTTATATTAGTATATCTTAATCTTAATGAGATAATTTGACAAGAAATTAAATATGGTGACAGTTTTTCCCTCACTTGATTCATTATCCTTGGCTGAGCCTGAGGAGGTGGACTGCCCCTGGGCTGAGTCAGTGCCTCCTCCAAAATACTTTAACAGTGCTCCTGGGGAAGTTTCATATAACTTATGAGCATAATAGGGAGTTAATGTAAAAGGAATATGTTTATTTATTCACATAAATTACTATGCTCTTCAGCAAACAGTTGCAAACAACATATCTCAAACTATAAGTTAATTAAGTTAATTCATTAATGCAAAAACATATTGCTAGCAAACGTCACTGCGTTTGTAATTAACGTTTGTTAACATTTGCTATCAAACGTTATCAAAAACGTTGTTTTGATGCCAAAAAGCGACCCAGAATATATACATATTTATATATATATATATATATATATACAGTACAGGCCTAAAGTTTGGACACACCTTCTCATTCAATGCGTTTTCTTTATTTTCATGACTATTTACATTGTAGATTCTCACTGAAGGCATCAAAACTATGAATGAACACATGTGGAGTTATGTACTTAACAAAAAAAGGTGAAATAACTGAAAACATGTTTTATATTCTAGTTTCTTCAAAATAGCCACCCTTTGCTCTGATTACTGCTTTGCACACTCTTGGCATTCTCTCCATGAGCTTCAAGAGGTAGTCACCTGAAATGGTTTTCCAACAGTCTTGAAGGAGTTCCCAGAGGTGTTTAGCACTTGTTGGCCCCTTTGCCTTCACTCTGCGGTCCAGCTCACCCCAAACCATCTAGATTGGGTTCAGGTCCGGTGACTGTGGAGGCCAGGTCATCTGCCGCAGCACTCCATCACTCTCCTTCTTGGTCAAATAGCCCTTACACAGCCTGGAGGTGTGTTTGGGGTCATTGTCCTGTTGAAAAATAAATGATCGTCCAACTAAACGCAAACCGGATGGGATGGCATGTCGCTGCAGGATGCTGTGGTAGCCATGCTGGTTCAGTGTGCCTTCAATTTTGAATAAATCCCCAACAGTGTCACCAGCAAAACACCCCCACACCATCACACCTCCTCCTCCATGCTTCACAGTGGGAACCAGGCATGTGGAATCCATCCGTTCACCTTTTCTGCGTCTCACAAAGACACGGCGGTTGGAACCAAAGATCTCAAATTTGGACTCATCAGACCAAAGCACAGATTTCCACTGGTCTAATATCCATTCCTTGTGTTTCTTGGCCCAAACAAATCTCTTCTGCTTGTTGCCTCTCCTTAGCAGTGGTTTCCTAGCAGCTATTTGACCATGAAGGCCTGATTTGCGCAGTCTCCTCTTAACAGTTGTTCTAGAGATGGGTCTGCTGCTAGAACTCTGTGTGGCATTCATCTGGTCTCTGATCTGAGCTGCTGTTAACTTGCGATTTCTGAGGCTGATGACTCGGATGAACTTATCCTCAGAAGCAGAGGTGACTCTTGGTCTTCCTTTCCTGGGTCGGTCCTCATGTGTGCCAGTTTCGTTGTAGCGCTTGATGGTTTTTGCGACTCCACTTGGGGACACATTTAAAGTTTTTGCAATTTTCCGGACTGACTGACCTTCATTTCTTAAAGTAATGATGGCCACTCGTCTTTCTTTAGTTATCTGATTGGTTCTTGCCATAATATGAATTATAACAGCTGTCCAATAGGGCTGTCGGCTGTGTATTAACCTGACTTCTGCACAACACAACTGATGGTCCCAACCCCATTGATAAAGCAAGAAATTCCACTAATTAACCCTGATAAGGCACACCTGTGAAGTGGAAACCATTTCAGGTGACTACCTCTTGAAGCTCATGGAGAGAATGCCAAGAGTGTGCAAAGCAGTAATCAGAGCAAAGGGTGGCTATTTTGAAGAAACTAGAATATAAAACATGTTTTCAGTTATTTCACCTTTTTTTGTTAAGTACATAACTCCACATGTGTTCATTCATAGTTTTGATGCCTTCAGTGAGAATCTACAATGTAAATAGTCATGAAAATAAAGAAAACGCATTGAATGAGAAGGGGTGTCCAAACTTTTGGCCTGTACTGTATATACATACATATATGTGTGTGAATCAACTTATTCAAAGTATTACACAAACACAAAAACATTAGCTTGAATAGTAAGCTATCTAACCTACCAGTTAAAAGAGAAATTTCTCTAGTTTTGAACTAACGTTAGCTAGCTAATTTGCTCTTATAGGCTAACGTAGTTGGAACAATATATCAACAATAATTATGGACTTTACTAATTTGAGGAAAATTTTCAAAATCTCCACGACACCAAATGTTACATTACCAAGACATACAAACATACCTTTATCTTGTCGTTTTTCTCCTCTTCCTCTTTCTTCCTTTTTCTTTTTTCCACCCCTGAAGGGTATGTCCTTTTTTGCGACATTATAAGGCCGTCCACCTGCTCCTAGCTTCTTGGATGCGCAGTGCGCACTGCACAGCTGGATGCAAACACATTACTAGCGGAGCTCTGACATTTAGAGCAGAGAGGCAGTAGGAAACTACACTCTGTTAACATAATATTGTCTTTTTGTACAAGAACGTACATTTGATAATATATGAATCATCATCACTCACACATGGAAAAAAATAATGAATTACTTTTTTCTTTTTTTAAGTTAATTGCTCTTGGGGGCCCCCTAGTGGTCACAGGGCCCTAAGCAGGTGCTTAGTTTGCTCATGCCTTGGGCGTGTGTTGAAAACAAAGGCTTTTGTTGCATGCTAAAAACACTGGAACCCAGGTATGTGACTCTGTCCAGACATTTTTTCGCCGACACAGCCGTACCCAAGCTCTACAGAGAAGTGAAGTATAAATTCAAGGACTCTTTGACAACAGCAGGAACAGTGGCATTAACTTGTGACACCGGGACTTCAAGGTCAGGGAAAATATACGTGACTATAACAGCACTTTATCTCACAGAGGACTGGCGACTGCTGTCTCACATTTTCCAAACTAGCGCAGTACATGAAAGTCACATTGCAGCAAACATTGCAGACCTCATGCAAACTGCAACACAAGAATGGGGGATTGTGGTTGTAGTAGACAACCCTTCTAACGTAGGTGTTGCCATTTAGTTCACAGGATACCTGTGTATGAAGTGTTTCACTGATGCGCTTTGTCTGTCTTCGCACAGGGCGTTAAATCTTCCAACAGTTCAGTCTGTCAGGTGTATGCAGCATTTCTAACAGGCTTTTATGATGATGTTGGTAAGTCTGTTTGCTTTGTATCACATTTTACTGCAATAAAAATGATTAAAGTCAGAAGAACAGACTGAAAACTTTATCGAATGAGGTAAAACTGATGTTGACAAAGTTTTCAGAATGTACTTGTACTTCTTTACACTCAAAGAAAGGGCACATTTTGAAGGAGTTGTTATTTATAGATTATTATGTTAAGGTTTTACTAGTCTGGCCCCCTTAAGGTCAAATTGGACTGTATGTGGTCCATGAACTAAAATGAGTTTGACAGCTCTAGACTGGATACTCTGACAGTCAGGCCATGTAAGAGTCTCACTGGGATGCTTCTGGTGGTTCCAGTTGATCCCCCCTGATGATCCCCTGTTATCATGTGACCAAAGTTCCATTCATCAGTAATGACAACTGAGATAACTCCATTCACTCATGTACACTGTGAGATGCAGGTGAAATCTCATGGAAAAGTGAGTACCTTAAGTTGAGTTTATTTACTGTTTCCAAGGTGGGGAGTGAATAGGTCAGTGTTTTATCAGTAGTCTTACCTTTTGGATGCCACTTGGAACGTAATAGCGAATTGTTATTGTTCCATACTTCTCATATCCAGGCAGAGATGAAGAGCTTTCGGTGACATCCATTCTGCCTCCATCAGGTTGTGTTCCTGTCAAAATGCCATATAACTGTCCACATGTCGGGCACACAGGCTTGTAGTCAAAGGCTGTTTTCAGACAGCTTCTGCAGAATGAGTGCTTGCACCGCAGAGTCTCTTTCTCTGTGGTGACTATCTGTTCCATACAGATTGGACATGATTCTCCTTCAGGATCTTTGCTGTGTGCAGGTGAAGGACCTGAGGTTCTGCTGCTTGGAGTGTCCGCTGGACTTTTTTTCACTGAACTCTTTCTTGAGCTCAGTGTATTTTGTGAAAGGAACTCTTTCAATTTAGCAACATGCACAAAAGGCCCAGTCACTGTGACTTCAGATCTGTTGTGGCTGGGTTTAAAGAGGAGGTGTGGAAATCTCCGCTGCAGGTCTTTGTGCTCATGTGGACTCACAGGGACAGATGTGACCTGCAGGTCGGAGGCAGTTCTCTGGTAGAATGTGATGAATCGCTGTCTGACAAAGTCCCCGTGAACCCGGTCAAAGGAGACAGGTTGTGGTCTGAAAGTTACCCGTACTGTGCTGTTGGGTTTATTGTGTCCTGCTCTGAGGTTAGGCTGTGTTTCAATGACAAAACTGTTCCCTTGAATTTTCTTTAGTTCTTTGGAACAATTTTGCTCAATGTAGGCCATAACAAAGCTGGATACATCCACAGGTTTGACATGGGGTGAAGCATCTCGCAGACTGGTTCGTCTACGTGTGACAGGACTGGAGTGATGCCTCCCAGCTGACAGTTTGACTGAAAGGTTCTCCACCTCCTCATAGGAGGTTCCTCTCACTATGTAGCAGGAAGCTTTTTTCTCAGGACTGTAAGATTGAAGAATCTTCATTAATCTTCCATTGTCTTTGTAATGTGCTGCATCAATGATGACGGTGATGTCAGTGATAAACTGCAACAAGACATGACAGCTGAGGTTAGCTATTGGCTACATACCGCCATCTAAATGCAGCATGGTACATCATAATGGGGCTTGAATGATTACTCAAGAGCAATAATGATTTTCATAAAGAGCCAAACTCTCTGCATTAGAACTTTGTTTCAAAGTTTGTTTCATTGAAGTGTTGCACAGCACAAGAGTGAATGGACATTAAAAGAATACTTCACCTGCAAAGTGACCATTTGTTTATCAATTACTCACTGCGTCTTACCTTGAATTTGTAAAGAAAAATTAGTTTTTCTCACATGCCTTCACAGTGAACGGGGAATCCAAAAAAGGCAAACACATTTTTAAATATTGAAAGTAAACTGGTACTGCATTTAACAAAAGCAAAACTGTATCAAAACATCTGTTAACAAACTCTCACACAACTTGTGAGGAATAATCCAAGTCTCATTTATGCAGTCGTATGCACAGACTGTAAAAATAATGGACGTAGCTACGGTGATGTCACCTATTGGTTTGTGGACTGCCGTTTTGAAGCCTCGAGTTCTGTATTGTGGCTGTGCCCATCTTGTTTTTTTGAAGCCAGAAGTGACTAATTTTGGGTGAGAGGCTAAAGCTGTGACCGAGGGGTGGATCTGACTGAGAACAAGCCGACAGCCTGTTACTCAAAGTGGCCCACATTTATTTATGCCTAACTTTAAGCCTTAATAAAATGTTAGGGGGTGACTTATATAAAAATTCACCCCCTGTACGGTTGTCATGAATGTTTAAATTAGCTATGGAGACCAAAACCGTATTCTGTACCAGGCTGACAACATGTTTATTTCTGTTGTAAAGTGGGGTATTTTAACATGGGGGTCTGTTAGGATTTACTGGCTTCTGGAGCCAGCCTCAAGTGGCCGTTCTAAGTTTGTGGCACTTCCGTGTTGGCTTCATTTCTCAGCCATGGAGGTTGCCGCTTGTTTGTCTGCTCAGTACTTCCCAAACGCATGCATTTTTCCTAAAACGTTACAATATAAAACACACAACACCGTTATGCACAGTGAGCTAAATTCTGCTCAAGTGGAGCTCAAACACATGCACATGCCAAGACACGCAACTTATCTGTGCATATGACTGTTGGTACTGATGTGCTTTCATTGATAATGTTTTAGTAAAAATGCGTGTGTTTGGAAGGCACTGAGCATATGATTGGATAAATAGACTTGGATGATACTGCATGAATTGTGTGAGAGTTTGTAAACAGATGTTTTGACACAGTTTTGCTGTTGTGGTCCCCATTTACTTCAATTCATGAAGAATGTGTGCCTTTTTAGGATTTTCCGTTCACCGTGAAGGCATGTGAGAAAAACACAGTTTTCTTAATGAATTCAAGGTAACATGCAGTGAGTTACTGATGTACAAATGGTGATTTTGTGAATGAAGTATTCCTTTAATTACTGTCTAGTGGCTGATACTCTTGTGTTGACTGTAAACTCAAATGGAGAAATGCAAAATGAGGAGACAAGGAGTAAAAATGCCACAAACTATCAGGGTTTTTGTTTTTATAAATTGTAGGCTTCTCTAATCTTTGCTTTTTGTAATTTTTTTTAACTCTTAAGGCCTCAAGTAATTATATAAAAGAAACCATTTGAAAAGTTTAGAGGGAGAAATAAGTCCTTGGCGGAACTTAAGCAACGAGAAGCTTTTTTTTCTTTTTTTAGTTTAGGGCCACATGTCAAAAAGGTTCGGAGCAGCTCGTGTATTTGTATTTTATAAACATGTCAAATGTTTTAATGTAAAATCTTAATCTGAACAGAAATTCATGCTCTAAAATTAAGTATTTCCCACTGACATGTGGTGGAGTAAAAGTATAAAGGCATAAAATGAAAATACACAAGTAAGAGTATCACTATTACTTATGAGTATTCCCAATGCACTTCATTGCACTTTAATGTTGTCCTTTCAAGGGATGCACAATAGCATCAGCATGTCATTGGTATCTGCCGATATCAGCTTTAAAATGAACTATCAGAATCGGCCAACCTGCTGGTGGGTCATCACAAAAAAAAACACCAACATGGTGCATCTCTTGTCCTGTCCATGTTGAATGTCTTGTTTGCCATTTATGTTCTTTACTGACACCTGGATTTGTGAGTAATTACATTTTGTTCACTGTATGCTGCTGTATATTGAGAATGACAGCAATAATTAATTGAACTGAACTGAGCTGAATAAAGAAGGTAGCCTACAGGTAGACTTTTTTTTTTCTTTCTTAAATGTAGGCCTACTCACATCTGATAACAGAGTTTACTATTTTTGTACAAATGCATACTCAAAGATGACTTCCATAACAAATTTACAGTATGAGCTGAGGCCCTTAATTTTAACTTACGATGCGAAACATAGAAATGTATGAGGGTCATGGTTTATTTATTTGATGACGAGCTTTTATTTTGTAGTGCAGAAGCCGAAACCGGAAACCTTACTTGAAAGTTTTCCTGCCAACTTAAAGCACTACTGCCCGTCGAATATCAAACATATTATTTAAGTTTGCTTTTGTGACTGAATCAAATAAAGAGCTATCAATTTGCATCGCCTTTATACGTATTTTTTCAGAAAAACAACAACAATAACGACAGTGAATCTGCTTACTGTCAGGTCGTTAAAACCAAACTTCACCGACTGTAAACTCTGTTGCTCCCTTCACATCTCCCCTTCCTTTAGCCTGGTCAGGCTGTTGTAAATGTAGGTTAAATATGTAAGACCTACCTCCATCCTGCAGAGCTGTTGTAAAACTGTAGCAACACTGTGTTGTGTGTCTGAACATAGTGACGACTTGACTGCCCTTTGCTTTCACTTTCAGGTTCATGCTGTCTTCACTGTCCATCACGTGTCTTCTAGCGAACCCTGTCGGTGATTAGGCGAATGACATCCAACATAAATCCACCAGTGAAGAATGCAGTGTGAGTAAAAAATATTTGTAGTTGTGTGTAATTACTATTGAGTAGAAACAGAATACGTTGCAACTGCTATTATTAAAATTTAGAGAACTTTTAAGTGCTTGTACTTGAGTATTTCAATTTTATACTATATACTTCCTTTCCTCTACATCTCAGAGGGAAATATTGTACTTTTAACATGTATTTGTCTGATTTAGTTACTTTGAAGACTCAGATTAATAATAAGAAAACATAATCAACTGATAAATGATGATGATGTGTTATTATATATTAAACTACCGAGCAGAATATACTGCATTTAAAAAAGAGCTCAACCCTTACCAGCTGCAACCTTAAAATGCAACTGTGTAATTTAAGTAATCCCTTCTGAAACGCCTTTATAAGACACTATCATATAATTGTATTGTAATTTACCTTTTATTTTACCTCTTAATTTAAGTTATATATGTGATACAATTAGGATTTGTGACATGTCAAAAGTTTTTTTTTCTTATTCAATGTTTATGATATAAATTTTGGGGGGGATAAAGATAGCATATATAGTTTGCTTGCACATGCTAAAGTCCTTTTTGGTTAAAAAACAACAACAACAACAACAAAAACTTTTCATTTTAACCAAACACATCCAGTTTATTACAGATAGTCCTCACAGACTGCATATAGTCTGATAGTTGTAGTCTACAAAATGAATTAGTGATGTTATATTCATAGATGAAACGTTTTTTTTTTTTGTTTTTTTTTGTTTTTTGAAGATTTGCAAACCAGAGTAAATCCAGAATCCTGCTTCCGTTTGGCACCTACACAGTTGTGCATTAGAGCCGGGTTAACTTCTGAGAGCCACTGTTCCAGACTCTTGTTTAGTACAACGCTCATTCAACGCATGCCCCAGAGCCGAAGACCAAGTGAGAGCGCTCAGATTGCAAAAGGCACGTTTGTGACGGCTATAGGTTGTGTTTGTATGATAGTGGCATGTAACGGAGTTGTCCATTTACCAGAGTGAAAAAGCTAGGTAGTAGTGAACTTGCCACCCGCACACATCTCCCAGCTGGAGCTGGGGGGCTTGTTCATGAGCTGGTTCACACTGGGTTATTTAAAAGAACTAGTCTTCTCATCACTGATGTAATTTTGACTTTTTTCAATCTTGAAGTATCTTTAAGCATGATGTGAGAATTCTTAAAGTAATACCTGATGAGATGTCTAAATATCTAACAAAGCAATAATGAAAACTATCAACTTGTTTTTACTTATAAGACATAAATCTAAAGTATTAATTTGAGCACTCAACCATATTAGACCATGGTGATGTGATTTACAAGCATGCAGCCTTGTCCTTACTTAAAAAAACTGGATTCTGCAGATCATGCTACATTATGCTTTGTTACAAATGCAGGCTCACGCACTCACCACTGCATTTAGTATGAATCTTTGGGATGCTCCTTTCTATACGAGAGGAAAATAATGCACACATTGCTATTCATTGCCAAGGCATTATTAGGTAAACTGCTTATTTATATTTCCAGCCTTCCGTCCTTTCACACTAGCAGCTATTGCACTCCGTCTTTAAATGATATTCTTTTAAATGTCCCCAGGGTGCACACAGAGCTCAGTAAAACTGCCTTATCTTCTTATGCACCCTGTGTGGAATGGGCTCCAAAATGCAGTAGGCTACCTTCCCTGAACATCTTAAAGGTCTTTTAAAAACTGCCTTGAAGCAGGGGTGTACTGGGGATCCAGGGGTGAAGGGGCCCATAGAGAGAGCAGGCCCTTGCATGTGATTCAGATTGCCACCATGAAAAAATACCTGTGTTCAAAGATAAATTATAACAAAAAGAATATTATTAATTAAAAAGTAGAGAATTGAATTAAAACGCTTCAATTAAATTATTATTATTAGCTTACCTTCTTTGATATTTTTGTCAGATATACAATGATGTATGGGTAATATGTATGTTGATGTTGTCCAATGTCAAGTCCCTATTTGTGTGAGGACTATACATGCACTAGGGCCCATCATAATAGTGTGCACTGCGGCCCGTCGTAACTTCCTTACGCCACTGCCTTGAAGGAAATATGTTGCTGCTCTGTATAATCTATGGCCTAGGTGGATTGTGTATGGACGTCATTGGTTTGGCCTGCATACCCCTTTTCTTTTAATATTTTTTTCCTCGTGTTGGTTAATGAGTGTAGCCTATGTGTTTTAATATGTGAAGAGATCTTGTATCTCAATGGGACCTTCCTGGCTAAATGCAGGATAAATAAATAAATGGAAATTTATTCTAAATGGTCATGATGGTATCATTCGCATGACGTCAAAGGATGTCGTAAAAATGTTGAAAAAGAAACCATGACTTCTTAATCGTAGCAGAAAATTGAAGTGTCCAAACAGCACATGAAGGCATCATCCCTTGCAGTGTCAGTGTTTGTCCAGCAGATGTCAGTGGTGCTCTACACACTGATGTTTCTCTGGTTCAGATCCACAGCAGTGACGTTGCCGTCCACCATGTAACCGTCCCAACACACCAACAGCTGGCTTCTCCATCAGGCTCATTGTGTTTACTCCACACTGGGTCTCCTCTGTATTGTCACACGGCATCCACTCATTAATCTGACTCTCAGCTGGCGGAACACAGACTGCCACTTGTCGGCCATGGAAGGCGGCTGTCCTGTTGCTGTCTCTCTGCTGGCGACTTCTCATCGGTGGTTTCAGTCCAGCCGGTACAGACTCTCGGACTTCCCGGTCTCAGCACAGTATGTACGGACAGTGGACAGCAACCCCATAGATAGCAGATGGTTTGATTCACAATTGAAGCTTTAGAATGTACTTATCCTGTGTTGTTTATATGGGCCTATTAATATAGCTATGTCCTGTTTAGATTTATGAACAGTTGGTATTGTAGGCTAGTATTAGTAGTAGTAAAATTGTGAAATTCCTGTTTTAACAGTCTGTTAATTTCCCGCTTTCTATTATCCTAAATATAT